AATCTCGAATCGACAGTAGTAACCTTAAGAAATAGTCGAGGAACAATCGGATGGAAATGAATTGTGAAAGTTGCGATATCTCCTTAGTTACATCCATACAAATCCCGTTAGCACTGCAAAAGTAATTATAAAAAGTTCTCTATCGAAATCACGGTCTTGATAGTTTAGTTGCAAATCTCTTCGTAAATCAAATTAACAACTTTCTCTTCCCACATTGTTCTTTCGCCATAGCTGGCAAACAACTGTGTTACAGTTCTGTACAGAAATATATTTGTTATATTTATATTGTTTATATAGCCAATCATACGTATAAATAATCTGTTATGTTATTTTTACAAGAATATAGGTGTTGGTCAGATTAGAATATATGAGCGGAGGATTGTGGAGGTTTTTCTTTGAAATCCTGAATCCAGGAAAATCAGTTAATTTATTTGTCGAGCAAAGAACATTTTTCCGAACATTTATACCATTATCTCTTACATTATTCCATCTCTATTCCCATTTCTCTATTTCCATTTTTCTCGCTACAATACAATACAATTCTCGCAACAATACAATACATTTGAGAATAACAACCTATTACCTTTATCATTGTTATAATGCTTAACAAATAAAAGAAATTTTTTTAACAGTAAATTTTTTTAAAAGTAATTAAAAATAATTAAAAATGTTTTATTATTTCAACTTATAAAAAAGTTCTTTCACATTTCAATGATATAAAAATTATGTAAAATAAGAGCTATGAATTCATATTTCATATAAGTATTTGAGAAAATAGTAATGAATAATCAGATTTTATGTTTCAAAATATCTTGTTATTAAGATAATTTTATATACTTTATAAAGAAAAATATGTATGAAAAAACACAATAATAAAGATCTCGGCGTCGCGCTGAAGACTAATTTGCTTAAAAAAAAATACCTCTCTTCTGTTTTGCAGGACTGTTCAAACTGCAGGATCTTGTGAAATCTCCCCCATCCGTGAGAACTGAAATGTACATCCGTCAGGCGGGTCCTATATCTTACAGACAAGTCCTGCGGGAGGTTAGACACAAAGAAATCTTTAAACTGATTGTCGACACAGATCCAGCGCACATGCAGCAATTTTTTCGAGCGGTGAGTCCTAAATGATTTGATATTTGACATCGTTTTGCTAAAAGTCTAGATATTTAAACATCGATTTTATCTTTCTTGGCGAAAGTTTCTATAATCTCCATTTTTTGTACATTAACTGTCTCTTTTATTTTCTATGACTATGTTTCAAAGATCAAAACGTATAAATTTATCTTATTTTTCCACATCGCTTAATCTCTCGCGTGATAACTTTGACAAATTGCCCCGGATCGATATCACATATTTTTTTCAATAAAGTACTATAGTAAAAGAGCAGCAGACCGTGCAAACATGAATCATTGAAGCTTACTGGTATCATTATTTAAGAATTTGATCATTTTTTATTCTTGTCAGAATAAATAGTCAATAAATCTTTTATTACTAAATTTCTGTTGTTATAGTTATAATTATAAGTCGTTGCAAACTTACTTATAATTACACTTATAACGTCTTTGTTAGTATCTCTTTCTTGCATAACTTGAATACATATTTACATATCTCATTATAAGTATAAAAAGTGTCAGAAAGTCTATCTGAACTGAATAGAGCTCATGAGTGCAAAATGTTCTTTCGAGCTTGTTTTACAAAAGGGAAAGTATTAGAACTCATCGGCAAAAATTTCATCGTTTTATTCTTTCACGATCGCTAACACTTACTCGAAAAACTGGAGAAGTCTACGTGGGAAAACTGCCGATCGATGAAGCGGACGCGAGCGATATGGTGCAGTTTAGGTGAACTCATAGATTGTAAATGGTTATCTTCTGCCCCGCGAGACTTTATTTTAACAACTATTCAACGTATATCTTTTCTGTATCCTTAGAATCGCGTCAAAATGCTGTACGTAGAAAAATCAGCTTACGATAAAGGACACACAAGTTGTTTACCGGATGTAAAATAAAAAAAAAGAGAGAGAAGGAAAGCAGAGATCTGTATACGCACAAGGGACATTGCGAGTCATAAATAACTTTTCAGAAACATGCAAAGGGACTACACGCATGGATATTAAAAGGACTCTTGCAATTAGGATTAATGGTGGCTATACGTTGCGTTTTTCTTTTCAAAGCAACGTTGCCTGTTGCCTTTTTAACTTTTGATTCGAGATAAAAATGGTGAAAAAGGGTAATAATGATAAAAAAAATATTGTTCCATATTTAAGCACTTTACAATGCGCGCAATTCACGAACTAAAGTAAATTTGAATATTTTATATTGTATAATAATTTTAAATTATAGACTACCGCAGTCATAGATGACTCGCGATGATAATTTATAATATTTATCCACCTATTTCCAAACGTTCGACACAGATCGGCAGATCGTGAAATTAAATCGTACAATTGTCAGTGGTAACAAAACAAATGATGAAAATGGCTCATGAAAATCACATGCTATTTTCGCGCTCGCTTGAGATGATAAAAGCACTCGATGTTTTTCACAATTCCCAACACTTTTGGGAACGTTGCCGCGTGCACGGCCGATAAATAGAAAAATTTGCATAATCGGACGGGTGATCAACGCGCCGGAAATGCACGCCTCGATTGTTCACCATTGAAATACGCGTTATCGACGCATTTCTCAGTTATGTAAATAATACTAAAAACGGCAAAATTTATTCGCCGTTATGACTTAGGGTACGCATCTCGATACGTGAGAAAAATCGCCCGCCGTAATTTATGCACATAACGAACGCGGGAAGATAACGCATAAATTATTCAGTGTTTAATTTACAATGAATTGTACAACATAAATACGAAATAAAATTACACGTCAAGTGCACGTCAAGTTGATCCTGCATAATGTATGTAATGCAATTATATGCCGTTCTCTATAAACACTGTTGACAGGAGAGGTACGAAATAAGTTAGAACTAAATTTGCTGTAATAAATTAGCTAGTGCGCAAGGTAAATGAGAAAAATTCTGTGTGTACGAGAAAATTACTATAGTAAACGAAAAGGCCGAGAGTCGTGCCACAGCACAATTGTGAGACAAACATATAACGAGAAATAAAGCAATTGCACATTAGAGAGAAGTAGTCAAGTCCGGGAATGTAGAAAAACTCGTTCGCGATCTAAGGATTAAGACTGTAAATACATTGGAAGCAAGAGAGATTAGATTTCGTTCATTTCCCACCTTGTCAGTGGGACTCCGAGAAGCAATCTTGCTTCAGATGTGATCGAAGCAAACCCGTTATTTGCATGTTGCGTCCCTTGAGAATTTCCAAGGATAACTCTCGACCGGTCGAGTAATCAAAAAACGTCCATGCTTTCATGCAACGCTTCTCCTATATCCTTTTAACCTCGCACAACCCGTTTCGTCCTACCAGCTTTCCGTTTTCTCGGGGAGATTTTTTCCACGGGAAGATCCGCGCAAGACCTCTTTTATCTGACTCGTTTCCATCTCAAGGATGCGGCTTGATCGATCAATACATATGGCCGTGGCCTTACCGCGGAAAATGAAAAACGACGAATTATATCGAACTACAAAGAGTGCAATATCAATAGCTCGATAGTGGAATAACGATACACAATGTAATATTCGTCTTGCAAATATACATGCAAACATATATTTGCCAGATAACGTAGAATATACACAAAGTAGATACTTTTACTATTTAATTATAAGATGAAAGTCACCGTAAAATCATATTAAATTAAATTAAATAAAAAATATAACAATATGAAATTTATTTTTATAATTGTAATATATAATAATCGTGCAATTTAGCACAAATAATATCAATTGCGAAAGCCCGTCATATAATGCAATTTTCTTTCTAATTTGTTACAGATATTGCAACTACAAATGAATGACTACAGATATCACTATATGTTCACAACTTTTGTAAGTATATCTTTACATTTAACCTTTATATATATATCTGTGAATAAGTAAAATATTCCTATAATAATAACGAGTTTATTATATTTTTATTCTGCAATATTATTATCTCTATATTCTCTGAAGAAAATTTTAATTGCAATAGTAGACTACAAGATACATAAGTATAATTGTCAGGAATTATTGGATTAACATTTTTCTCGATATATAATCTCTTTATTCAATGTTAATCTATATTAAATCATATTAAAATAATTATGGTCAGAATTATATCTCGATGGGAAATTCAATTTAATCTATATTTGAATATTGCATTAATGTATTGTAATGAGTCACTAATGAGCCTTGGGCATCTATCGGTTACAATAGAACATTTGTTTAATTAAGTGTATTACTATAGTGAGAATCGTTAACAACCTATTGATCATGAAAGGATCATAATGGCAAACATGAGCGAGGATTTGGTTGTTCCGACATTCACTAGGTACGCAATATCGCGTAATATCATTTAAGAAAGAAAAAGGAATGCCTCTTTTAGACGTAGGGGAATCCTCGTAGACGAGAATCCGCTACTTTATAGTGTACCATTCATCATCTTCATAACCGGCACCTCTACCGACGCCACTTCCCTTTGTACACTATGTGCAGCTTATTATGCATATTATCTCATACTGGTTTTGGAGCACAGACGGTTATAGAAATTAGACGTTCTCGGGCGAGACAGCGAATCGGGTATTCCCCCTATCACGGAAAGTTAGCCCGTGTCATCACGTGGCTCTCTCCTCTCATCCGGCACGCTCTCCTTTGACATATCGTCGATCCTCTCCCCACCTATTGAGTCGCACAACCCAAATTCCAATCCGTCGTGTCTGTTCGGCAGAAATTTCTATCTTAAATGGAGCTAACGACGCGTACAAACCCTGCGGCTAGCGTAGCCGAAGTTATGACGTGCAAACGCAAGCTACAGGCTGCGGTATGTATGTCGAGGGACAGAGAACTGTACGTTCTCGTTTGATGCATTTGCACTCACATATGTACGTGTGCATCTTATACATGCATGCATAACACGCGCGACATGTCCCCCGCAAATGTTCCCCTCCGAATTTTGCGGCTTATAACTGAATCACCATCCGATATCACGCTCTTTCCCGCAAATGCATTCAAATTAATCCATGATAATTCATTATGATATTATCATAATTATATCTTAATTATAATAATTACATCTTAAAATGATTTCTGATGATTGAGTAATATATTCAACTTGATAGATGTTCATCAATTAATTCGCGATTGCAGGGAACAAAAAAATAATCCGTAATACTCGTAGTTTCATGTGCAAAACATTTTGCCGTTGATGTAACTGTTACATGATACATCCCGACAGTTTGTTAATCAGAGATTGACATATATTAGCAACACAAGATAATTACGGTACGGAAATTCATATCACGAACACGCTTATCATTGATCAAATATTGATTGTACTGTATTTCATTAGGTAATAGCATATATAGCGTGTTTATGAAAAGACATATATATATATATATATATATATATATATATATACTATATATCCATATGTACTGTGAAACAATATGGCATTCAGAAGCAGTAGAATTATTTGCAGAGTTCATCTTGTGATCGGTTATCGATTAGCAATTGCTTTACATTATCGGAAACCTGACTGGTCTGTAATGAGAACAATATATCTTCTATAAAATATTGATATCATTGTATTATTTTTAGAAAATTATTTAATAAAAATTCATTACAATCGTGTGATTATTTGTTTCAAATATAATCATATGATAGTAATTTATGAACGCGTTAATCCTTTAAATTTGTTATAGTTATAGGTAGTTTAGAGTAAGTAATATCTCACGAAGTGCAGTATATCTTGCAATAAAGTTACAACTATGATGAAGTTGATAATGTGTAAAGACATAATAATAATATTAATATCTCATATCTATATCATAAAAAATTCAGCAAAATTATACTAAAATACGATTTAAAAAAATACGATTTTAAAAAATTTTTCGGTTAATTATAACAAATTTTGTAATTTTTAAAAATATATTTTTTGCATTACAATTCACAGTCATATGCGGTCTTGTAAATAAGTTTAATTTTAAAATACTAATATTCCATTAAGCTTGTGGAAAAAACAGGGACATCCATTTCTAAATAAATTATTTGGGAAGGAACTTTTTTGTGGTTGTTGCGATTCGATAGAGTAGATTGAATACGCGGCGAAATGACGGGATTAAGAGAAAAACGAAAAAAGAAATCGCTTAAGAACGAAAACGAAGCTTTATCTGCCACAACCGACTTTGTTATGCAACCGTGCAGTTATCGGTTAATAACCTCATGGAAAAGTCGCATTATTTATCTTAACGATCTGCGTCGTAAACGATGTATCACCGCATAATTATAAATCATATTCTCCCGGGCTTTCCAAGCGAGAATCGAGGAAGACTGGTTGGGATTGGTTACGGTTATAACGATCGCAATTACGATGATGACGGAATCGCTAGAAACGCCTCATTTTTCTTCAATTTACCTTGGCTTACCTCGTAACCATGCCGTGAGCGAAAAAAAATTACCCAGTTACATTTTCTTAAATATCAAGGCCGTCGAATTTTCTTATCATTTAAAGATGTAGAATAAATTGATAGTTCTACCTATTTACGGGAGCTAAGGCAATTTAAATTAAATAAGCAATTCCATTTCTATAATTTTTATAAAATATTATTAATAATCGATATAAATTTTAATATTCGGAATTAAATTTTGATTATTATAAAGTATTTATCGCTAATTTAATTTAACTAATAGACATTATAATATTTAAGTTAAATATATTAACAAAATTAATATGTGCAATAATTTATTTTAAATTTTAAATTTTATAATTAAGGATTTATTTAAAAAAAGATTCAAGATTTAAAATCTAAAGTATTTTAATAAGTTGCAGATAACGGTTTAAAATAAACAAATCTTTTCTTTATATTTGTCTTTACAGGATATAGAAACGTTTGATCTAGAAGATTTCAAATATAACAGTGTGAATATGACAGCCTTTCGCTTAGTAGATCTCGAAGAGCCCAAAGTTGCTGAAGTACTCAAGCAGATGGAACGTTTTCAACCAGCAATTGGACATGCCATTTTGAACAAAACTGGGGTCATTCAGGTTGGTGGAAATTTTAAATTAACAAGGAATTAAATATTTTTCCTATAATCCAAATGATAGTAAAGCTGTAGATTTTCATAAAATTTTGAAAATATGTTTTCTTTGAAAGTGCAAACGGTTTTAGTATCAGATGACATTTTTCGAGCTTAATTACGAAAATCTAATTACATATTAAATATACATGCAAAGTAAAAATTACAAAAAAAAAGTAAAAAAAAACTATAACGTGATAATTATAGTATATATTATAGTTATATATTATAGTTATAGTATATAATATTGTTAGAGAAAGTGATATTTTGTATTTTCTACAATAATAATTAAGGTTAAATGGTAACTAAGCCATATAAACTAGCTTCAGACAAATAGAGATTAAAAGCAGAGGGGGATTGAAGAGTCGAATAGACTGAACTGGTCAGCAGAGTCTGTCCAGTTCAAGCTTTGTCAGCCCTTCAGTAATTAAGTGAGTTTCGCCCACGGCCAGTGCCGCAATGTCATTAATTCGGATCAATTGAGCACACCAAGCACGGTTTTCTCTCAAGGATTTCGAAGATGGTCACCATCTGCTGAAATAGCTAAATTTATCTTTCAGAATTTTTTTCCGCCAGAATTTCCTTCTCCAAATATTAATAAAAAGATTGATATGTTTAAATTTGTGCGTTCGTTAGCGTTTTCTCACTAAAGCTATTTCCAAATCTTGTTATAAATTTTAAAGAAAAATTTCTCATTTAAAAGAAGAATATTTAATAATCAAAGAGAAGTATAATTTCGACAACTGTTAAATTATAGATTTATGATTTCAAATTAAAAAAAAAAATTTGTGTAATTGGTTCTAAAATCAATATTCGATATCATAAATGCATTTAATATTTCATTTTAAAAAACGAACTTTGGCTGTAGAGTGAAATAAGACTCTTCTGACATGATTGTTAACGAGCATGAATAATAATCATTCGGTCAATCATTAAGCTATGAACAAAATTGAAAAGGAGTTTAGTTAAAATTTTATCGTAACTTAGCTCAATCTTGCACCAAACTAGCAAAAACTTTTTTCACATAAAGTTTCGTCAAAAGCTAAAGCTTTTCATGCGTTACGCAAAGCACGAACTTTCGTCAAAAGAAAACATATGTTTCAGGCAGAACCAGCTTTGGTGTACGATAGCGTACAGGTTTTTGCGCATGGTTTGGCAGCTCTGGATCGTAGTCACGATTTAAGACCAGCAAATCTGTCCTGTGAGAAAGAGGAACCGTGGGACGACGGTTTATCACTCTACAACTATATTAATGCCGTACGTACGTTCTGTGAATTTTCAAGCAAGTCGTTAAGCGGAATAGCTAGAATGCTACTAATGCTAGTAATGCCAGTTTCCGAATATAATTATTTAAAATATTATCTTCTTCTTTTTATAAAAAATTGCAAGAAAATAAATAAAAATCTATCAATAAAAATCTATCTTTAAGTATACAAAATTTGTTCGTACTTCTTCAATTATGAGGAAAAATTTGAATCATATTCTGCTCTACAACTAAAATATACTTTCAAATTATATTTATAATTTTTAGAAAAATTGCGATTATATTTAATAGTTTTATAAAAAAAAAAAACATTTAATTTAATCTGATATCGCTTAAAAATTTGATGATAAAAGAAAGCATAGACCTTATGAAAGAGAGAAAGAAAGAGAGGGATTATATATCAATATTTATAATATAATTAATTTACATAATGATATTATTTATAACATAATTATTTGATAATTATTAAATAGCACCAAAGTTTCTCTGATTTTAGGATATATTTCTAGTATTAGTAATCTGTAAATAAAACAAAATAAATTCGATTACGAAGTTATCACAATCTGTATATGTACACATATACATATGTATACTTTTGTTGTTATACGTTTTCGAAGATAGACTCGGAATAATCCCAAACACGCTATTCAATTTCAATCCAAAAATGTAAATAACAAATATTTTGTGAGAATCTAATTTTTTTTATCAAAATAGTTCGTATAATTGTAATGCCAGAATTTATATTATCAAAGAGAAAATTTATTTCACGAGATTTTTGTGTTAAGTCAACTGATATCCAAATGCATTGACTATCTGGAGTAATTAAATGAAAACATGCGTTACAAGCTTCAAACGCAGTGTTGTTTTATGCAAGAGAAATATTTGCCCTTCCCAAAATGTACAGAGCAGTAGAATAAGTCATTTAATTTCGTAGTTATTTTTATTAATAATAAATCATATAAGAATGTTAAATATGAAGGAGAGCAATAATTACATCAGAAATCTTAAAAAATAATTATATAATTTAAAAATTATTATTTCTCAAATTATTAAAATTTAGCAGTATAACTTAATAATTTTTTCGGTCAAATTTTATTTACAAATTTTACAGACTTATGATTAACAATAAGGCCGAGTTTTTAAAATATTTATAATTCTTGTTCAAGAGTTTTGTTAAGTAATTTTTCTTCTGTCATAGATTGATCGACTGAACGTGACTTAATGTAAATCTAGAATAATTTAAACTCTACCCAGTACTCGAAGAACTTGTTACCTCATTTTTCCTACCCTCTTTAAGTCTCTTTAAGTTTCTAAAATTTGACGACAATCTTTTTGCTTATAAACAATAAAAATTAATCATAATTTTTCAATCGTAACGCACAGGACACAAGACATTTGCAAGATAAATAAAATAAACGATAATCTCTTTCTAATATAAAAAGCGACACTGACCACAAAAGTATTAGTACGCGTCGTTTTTATTACTTTACACGTCTTTTACCACGGCTTTGCGGAAGGTTATGATTCTAAGATGAAAGAAACTATGAAAAATTACTATCATTTTGACGATCGAGACCCCTTTTCGTCTCCTTGCAGAGATTGGTACTCGCAAAGTAATAACATAAGAGGGGCAAACGGAAGGAAAGCAACGTTGACACATGAATAATTGAACAACGTATTTAGCAAATAGCTACAAGCCGGAAGCCTCACTTCGGGGGCTTTCTCCTCCTTTAGCTGCTGTGGTCGCACTTTCCATGCACGGCGACCATCCCGAATGCACGACCGTGTCATACGAGAGACACGTACGTAAATTCACGCGTACGTGCTATCCATGGTTTAGATCTGGCATGTAGCATCAAGTTTTATTACCCGAGTGCAACCGATACAGGACTTTCCTTATTAGACGCGACAATGACGAATTAAAAAGTGCTTAAACTTACGGACCTAGATATTTACCCATTAGCCGAGAAAACTTTCTATTTTTTTAGATTTATCTATGAATTAAAAAAAACAAATATTATCCGTAATAAATCTGGACAGAAATATCTCTTTATATTTTTACAGAAATTTATTTGAAATTCACAAATTGGAACATTGCAAGATACAAAATTTTTAATCTTTAGACAAGAATTCTTTTACGTGGAGTGTTTGTCAAGAGAAAATATCGCCTTTTGATCACGAGAAGAAGAGCGATTTAAGGTTATTTTTCGTTCTGCTCAAAATAAATAAGGAGTGTTTACTATAGCTAAATTAAACACTGATTTTCCTTCATATTATTTAATTAAGAAATTACACAAAGAAAACCGACTATACAAAATTGTATCTATAACATAAGTATAATGTTTTCTAATGTTAAAATATAATTATTTTCTTCATGAAGAGTTTTTATAATGTAAAAATACTTTTAATTTAAAATATGTACTTCCTTGTAATTTTTGTATCCCAAAAAAACCATTATATAAACTTCTCATTAAAAAATTTCCGATAAACATAGAATATATAATTAATAATGCTGTTACTTGCCATGTCGAGAAATGGTTTCCAAAGAGACCAATACCTCTTGCACAGCTACCTGTTTATGCAATAATGCGTTTTAGCACGTAAACAGCATTAACTCGAATGCAGGGTATACAGCAAACATGACGTTTTGACGAGATGCAATAGCCTCCCAAAAGTATTTTCATTATTGCCGTTATTGCCGTTATGGCGTTAAATTTTATTAGTAAAATAATTATATACATATACATTAACAATATTGTAAAAATTTTCACGAAGATTTTTAAATGTTTTTTTTTAATCTATCGTTATTGTTATCGTTATCTACCATTATTCTTATTAATCTTTCTCAGAGCTTATAAAAATAATACGACTTCTCGTGAATTATTCTTGTACAATTTCTTCTTGTATGTTTTATAAAGTTTCTTTTTTTCTGCAAAAAAAATTGGAAGCGTGAGAAAGTTCAAATTCTCGAAGTAATCGAAAACGTAAAAATAAAAGAATAAGACGGCACCGATGAATCGTGACAATTTTTCGATACTTACACAATCACAAATTTTTAGCATCGACGATTGAGAAGAAAATATATGTGGTGGTAGATAAATTGTTCCTTGCACCACACGCGGGGCAATCTTTTTATTATTCGCTGCATTCTACTCAAGTCGTGCAACCAGACAATAAAGAAATGTTTGTAATTCTGAATAAAGAAGAAAAAAGAGAGAAAATGAGAGAAAAAGAACTTTGCCGTAGAAATTATGGAAGTTCCCGATAAATCTACTTGCTCTATTCCTTTCACGTAGCATCCACTCGTTCGTAAATATCAATGCTCTCTCGTCTCGCGATACTTTTCGAAACGTCACTGCATCATATCGGCGTATCGGTTATCGACGTTCTTTTCATGTTGAATCCGAAATAAATAGTGTGCCGCCAAGAGATAGTACGTAAGTATACTATCGTGGTTGCATTCCGCATATGCATTCAAATCCTGCGTGACGGGAAACTGGCAGCTTCCGACGTGATCATATCCTATTAATAGAATAATCGTGTCGGTCGTTTCTATCATTCTGTGAATAACTACATAAATAAATGAACAATCTAGTAAATTATCAACGCATATGAGTTTCTGGGTAACGTTAGACGGATAATAGTTAGCTTAAAATTTTAAGCTGGTATTATCATCATAGCATTTAATTTAAGCAAGAAATTGTTTGGTAACTTTAATGTTGAAAAAGATAATTTAATGTTGATCTAAATAATATTTCATTAAATAATATTTCTTCATATGTCTTCTATTATGTCATATAATATCATGCTTTATTATTTGTAAAATATATTAATATAAATATTTTTATTAATTGTTTTATAATTTTTTTAAGTTTTACATGTTTACATTTCGAAATCTTCGCAAATCTTAAGTTGTTTAAACGACCCGAGCTGAGCATTGAGAGCTAAAACTCGCTGCAAAAGCGGCAAGATTAATGCACCCCAGCAAGTACAGGCGATTTTTGCGGCTTTGTCTGCCCAGGTACACTTCAGCACTCTAAAGGCATGGAAATGTGTTTCTCTAAGACACGCAAGGAACACAAGCAAAGTAAGCAAATAGGAAATGATCGATTAATTCAAAATATATAAAATGATCAGCCATTATGATATACGCAAAATATATTTACATATTAAGGTTAAAATATATATAATGTATATTAAAAAAAATGCTTTAAAAGAATAAAATATATGTAATTAAACGTGAGGTAAATACATTGCTAACGACAATATTATAACGACAAAAATTATGCTTTAAACAAAAAATTCTGTTTAATTCTCATGTTAAAATGTTATTTCTAAAAAATAATTTTCCGAATATATTATGTCTACATCATGGTAACATCATGATAATGATATGCATATTCCACTTCAAAATTGAAATCACATATACGTTAAGACATAATGTTTAAATTTTTAATAAATATTATTTAAAATAATTTCAAAATTATAATTCGATTATAAATTAAATATAATTTCTATACAAAAATGAATTTTCTTTTATCTAATATAAAATGCGTATGAAAATACCAATATCAATTATTACAAATTGTAAAGTTCGACCATTTATTTTGAAAATATAAATAATTTATTAATTCAACATTTTCATAATAAATTACAATTGCAATTATAGTTAACAATTGAATTTACTACATGTATATTATCCGAACAAAAACAAGATAGACATCTTCTATTTCAACATGAGTGTACCTCACATAGTATGTATGAAGTATACTTCGACATCAGTTGGATACGTAAACGTACTGGCAACATGATTCTGTTACCGAACGCTAGTAAATGGATTTATGTTCACTATCGATGGGAATATAATTCACCATTATCGCGTGAAAGCGAGTAGGTGAGAAATGCAAGCCAATGTTTCCGAATCATAGATAAGTATTATGTATGATGTAAAAATAGTTTTGGCGGGTATAAGATAAAGATAGCGATAAAAAATCGTAAATAACTTTAGATAATTCATTATATAAAAATTAATATTAGTACGAAAAACTTCTGTTTATC